CAGGAATGGCTCAATGGGTTGCAGCCCTTAACATGTTTAACCCACTCAGTTTTCAAAAGTACTGCATAGTCATAGATGAGAAGTGACAGTACTTTTCAAGATGGGTGGGTCTGGGTAGAAATACATCCATATCAGTGGTATCAGTGGTATTACATTAACATAATTTTCCTTTACTGTTTCTTGTAACAATTCATTTCATTAGTCACCATGATTAATGATGTTCCCCCCAAATTACTCACCCCCTGGAAGCCATCAGGGAGCCAGGTCTTTGAGCATGAGCTGACCTGTGACTGCAAGCAGACGTGGACCACTTCCTAAAAATAAACCCTTAATTCCTTTGCTGCAAACTCCTGTTTGTCTTATTGGGTCTTGATGCTTACAAGCAAATAGACCCCCTGAGTCTGGTAATAGTTGGCAGACATTCACACATTAGTGTGAATCAGATTGTTTCCCTCCAAACACTTGAGAACTGTAGCACTGCATCCATCTTTCATGAAGTTGTGCCCATCATTTCTCTGTTGCCTCAGAAACAGGAGTCTTCCCATAGAATTTTATTGACTCTGTTGTCTTGAAGATGATCACGCAGTAGAGAGTGACTCATGACTTCCCAGCCAATCTGCAAGTCACTTATAAACAACAGCAATTTGTTTATAAGTAACATTTTGCTGCCACCTTTCATTTAGTGGAGTCATCCATTGACCCAACAAACACTAGATGCATTGAATTTCATTTTTCCCAGACCCCTCTACTGGGTGCTGCAGGAAATCCAGAAATGAATATTCCATGGCCCCTGTCTTTGAGAAGTTCACAGCTGTGGGGAAATCAGACTTGTAGAGAAGTCTGACATGTGAATGACTGAAATGCCAGGAAGGATGGCGAATATTTTTAATTGAGCAATAAGCAATGTTCCACGAGAAAATGAGAGAAAGGTAAGTGCTAAAGGGATCAAACAGCTTCCTAGAGAAGGAATCTGTACTGATGCTGACTCTCAAGGCTGTCAACTAAGATCTGCACAGGTTTGCCCTTTGGCTAGAATGGAGACAGAGAGCTTTAGATAGATCCTCTCTGCCCAATGTACTGACCTCTGCTGAAAATAAGACAACAGGCCTCAAAATAGAGTCATTTATGCTAAGTCTCATGTCACCAAACCAAGACTAATCACAGTTTCAACCTCTCCTAGAAAGGGAATCTTAACAGGAAGTATTTGGTCAGCACTAGTGAGGCAATCTGCCTAATAAACCCCTCCATCCCCTAAAACATAGTGACCATGCCATGAGCACCCTGCTTTTGCTAGTATAACTTCCTTGTTCCCACTCCCTTTTGCCTCTGTAAGTCTTTTATTTTGTATAGATCAGCAGAGCTCCTTTCTATCTATTAAGGGAAAGTTCCTGATTCATGAATTGTTGAATAAAGCCCATAAGGTATTTAATATATACTTAGGTGAATTTTGTGTGTGTGTTTTTTTAACACTAAAAATATTATCCAAACATCCTGATTGTGGTTGCTTTGTCTTGCTTCTTGGCCAATTTCTGTTGGGCCCAATATCGAATTAAATGCCAAACTCTGTTTACAATTTCTGTTTCTGCTTAGCTTTGCTGACTCACTTCCTGATACTTTGCCCCTGGTTTCACTTTGCTAGCACACTCTACTTCCATTTGAGTCCTCCTCCTTTTAGGTAACCAAAGTGTGACTTCAGGCTATTCTTGACTTTTGGCTTTTATCTTTCCATGTCAACTCTAACACTATAATTTATGATTAATGTTGAAGAAGAAGAAAAAGAAAATAAGGAAAGAGAAATTCAATGCTGAGGGATCAGACTAAACAGAGACTCAGAGGTAAGAAAGTATGTGGTAGGCATCCTATATAATAAAGAGCTAATATGCTAATTAGACCTAACAGCAGAACAACCATCCTGACAACCTTCCAGTCGAAGCCGGGGCTGCGAGTGCAAGAGGCTGCAAGGGCTGAGCCCCTTGCATGAATTTCGTGCATCGGGCCTCTAGAGGGAATAATAAGCATCCAAGCTTGGAATCAGGGAGACTTACAGGTTGGGGAGCAGGCAAAGGGCAGATCAAGGTGGGATTTAACTGCTTTGAGAACAGGTGAGGAGTGTATTTTTATTTTAGCCAACCCATGAAAGGCCTGTCAATCATAACATCTGGAGCTCAGAGTTTGGATTTGGGGTTAGGGAAGAGGAGAAATGGCCTCTGATCAGACTGAAGATCCAGCCAGGATATGAAGGTCCAGAAAGGCTGAAATTCTATCAGACAAAAAGTAAAGGAAGGAATGTTGATTTAAACAAAGAAATAAAGCCTACCCGCCCTAGCTGGCCTGCTCACAGCTATCAGGGGTGGTTTTGTGCTTCCGTGAGCCCGGAAGGCAATGACTTTCCTCAGGGTTCCAGTGAGATTTAGTGAAACCACAAAATTAGGGAGCAATCAAGCCAGCTCTAAGAGCCTTAATTATGAAAGTAAGTCTGGGTGACCCCAGTGGCAGGCAATGCACCCATGATCCTCTGCTCTTTTAAACCACTTCTCTTCTTGTTTATAACTAACTTTGCTCTTCTGTTAACAAAGGTGAATATCCTAGCCAAGCAAAAAGAATGAGGTTTGGGAAAACTCTTGATTGGAATGTCTTTCTCTTGAGAGGATATTCTGCTTTCCATTCTCACCATTAAATCCTAACAGTGTGGAGAAAAAAAATGCCATGAGAGTTTGTAGTGGAGATGCTTGAGAGAATAATGGCTTAGCCTCTGCTTATTATAATTATCTCTCTGTGATTAGCCAAAGGCAACTTTGATGACATCATAAAGAATTAATTGCAGAGCATCAGCCTGCGGACTAAAGGGTACCTTGGTTGCAGGCTCCTCCCCGACCTCATGCTGGAGGCAGCCAATCGATGTGTTTCTCTCACACTAATATTTCTCTCTGTCTTTTCCTCTCTCTTCACTCTCTCTAAAATTCAATGGAAAAATACCCTCAGGGGAGGATGAAAATAATTAATTAATTAATTAAAAAAGAATTAATTGCAAAATGGAAAGACTAGAGGCTCAGAAGCCAGTTAGGCATGTGACAGGATAATTTACTGTGTTATTCCTATATTGTGCTATCTGCCCTGTTTCAAGAAGGCAGTCAATTTTGTTTTCTTTTTTTAAAATTCTTTATTGTTGAAAGTTTTACATTTGTCTCCCTTTTCCCCCATTGACCTCTCCCCGATCGCTCCTGCCCCTCAGCACATGCCCTCACCCCCCTATTGTCTGTGTCCATTGGCTATGCTTATATGCAGGGATACAAGTCCTTTGGTTGATCTCTTACCTCGCCCCCTCCCCTCCCTTCCCTCTGAGGTTTGACAGTCTGTTCGATGCTTCTATGTCTCTGGATCTATTTTTGTTCATCACTTTATGTTATTCATTATATTCCACAAATGAGTTTCTTTTGCCTTGGTGAAGTTTATATTAAGGTCAAAGGCAGAAGTTACTTGTAAGTCATTTCCCCTCCTGTCCATTGTAAAAGACCAAGTCAAATGAAGACATATGATAGCTGTGGTGAAGGAGAAAAAGGTAAGTGTGAGGGCCATTGAAAAACAAGGGGGCCTGGCTAGCACGGGAGAGAAGGCTGGATGCAGGATGAGATGTGTAGAGATGTATGGTCTTCTCGGAACAGTGCCATGAGGCTTCCACGGGCATGGCTGTGTTCCCCCTAGGGAGGCTGGCATTTGGGCCAGCCTGGGACCCCAAACAGGTACAAAAGTGGCAGAGCCGCTGAAGCTGCAGTCTCCATATAGGCTGGCACAATGATGGTTTAAGAGGGAATCAGAGTGGACTAATGACTATAGTGCTATGGTGTTGTATGGGCCCAGGAACCCCTGCAAACCCTGGGGAAAGGGGACTCCAATAACAACAGATATTGAATGTCCCACCAGTCAGAGGATGGGAGCTCAGAATAAGTCTTATGTTGAATAAAAATTTTAAAAAAGGTGACATTTCATACAATTATTAGAGTTTGTAGGCTCAGATTCATACTACTATACAACGTAAGTGTAATAGTCTCTGTTAAGGATTCTGAGAGTCCAAACTAAAGTGGTGGTCCTGGGGTGAGAAGATGAGAAGGAGGTAAAGTAAGAATTGACTAAAACAGAGATGAGCAAAGTGAGGGGAGAAAAAGAATGAGAATCCTAATGTGACCCTGAAGTCTCTCTAACCTGGGTGGCTGAAGGACTGAAATGTCTTTAGCCAACAAGGAAAACAGAAAGGTTGAAGGGGAAAAGAACTATTTTAGTTGAATTAGAAGTATCAGTAAGAAATTGATGTGTAAATCTTCAACAGGAATTTCTAAAAAGAAGACTGGAGTTGAAAAGATATATGACTTGGAAATTTTTTTAAATACCTAGAAATTCTCAAGCTAAAAGTGATATTCCTGTCATGGGATTAGATAACTCCACGTGAAGAAATGAGATGAGAAAGGAGCCAAAGATTAGACATTCCATGCAAAACAAGAATGGGGGAAGAAATGGTATGCAAAGATTGGAAAGGAGCCATCCCAAAGATGCGAGAACTAGAGAAAGTAGTGCCTCAGAGGACAAATGCTTCAAGAGCTTCAAGTCATCAGTTAGTGAGAAAGAACAGCTTCTCATAATGCAGTAAGCATTTCAGGGCGGCCAAGGAGGCAGAAAATGAAGCAATCGTAGTAGTGTCTTAGGGCTGTTGTAACAAAGTACCACACGTTTGGGGGCCTGAACAACAGAAATTCTCTCTCTCACAGTTCTGGAGGCTGGAAGTTTGAAATCTGGGTGCCAACAGGATTGGTTCCTTCTGAGGCTGTGAGGGAAGGACCTGTTCCAGGCCTCTCCCCTGGCCTGGCAGGTGGCCAACTGCTCCCTGTGTCTCCACATCTTCTCCCTCTATGTGGGCCTGCCTCTGTGTTCAAATTTCCCCCTTTTGAAGGTATATTTAATTAGAGTCCACCCTAATGACCTCATCTTAACTAATTACATCTGCAATAACTCCATTTCCAAATAAGATCACATTCCAAGATATGTGAATGTTGGGGGACACATTTCAACCCATTACAATAGCTTTTAAAAAAAGATGGATTAGTGTTTTCAGGGTTGAGCAGCCACATTTTTGTTTCCAATTTTGTGAGAGATCAAAATATAATTGAAGGAAGAAGAGGGTAACCGGAAATTGAGGTATTAAGAATGAAAAGAGGCAAAAATATAGAGATGGGAAAGGAGGAATTTAGAAAAGTGGATCAAGGCTTAAATTTGGAAAAAAAAAGAGAATTAAAGTAAACAGAAGACGAGTGGAAAAAGAGCAGAGGGGGAAAAAAAGTCAAGCAATTTCATTTTGTATGACTAAATGACTCTGAGGTTAAGTAAAGTCTGGGGAATTTTTAAAAAGCACGGAAGTTTTGGACTGATTGTTATGGGGAAAGGAGTGGAGAATTAACAGATGACAAAGAAAGGAATTTGTAAGGCTAACTGATAATGGATCATTTACTTTTTAAACAGATATAATTGGAAAAATTATTCTAATTGACTCATCTTCTTTCAGATGTAGGAAGAATCAGAGAAAATGGGTGATCGGGTTACCTCACAAACAGCCTTGGCCCATGCTGAATAGGAGAAGGAGGGACCAGGAAATGATGAAAGGAAAGGGAGGTGAAGAGAGCAGGTTTGGCTGGTGCCATGGAACCAAGTGTAGCCACATGGCTGAGAAGCTGGAGTGAATAAAGAACAGCAAGGAACTCTAAGGCCACAGAATGTCTCGGGGTGGACACTGAAGTAGCACAGGAAGGTTGTAGGGATTTAGCTGGTGTCTATGTTAAGCCATAAGAAAGTGCCTTCTCAGGTGCCCACATCAAGTAGAGTCAGTTTCACTAGCACTATTATGATAGCAATACTACCTTGAGTTATGATAATAATAACTATAAAGAGTCAGGCTTTGTGGGAATTTTTCTTTCAGGGCTGTCAAATAATTGGAGGAGGAGGAGAAGGACAAGAAATAATATATACAAAGAATTTTAAAAAAAAGTAATGAAGAGAAAAAATTTTTCTAAGCATTTATACTTTTTAAAAATACTTTAGGTAGTTTTTTTAAAAAAAAAAAATTATCTTTAGTGTTAAAAGTATTACAGATGTCCGTCCCTTTTTTATCCATTGACCTCCTCTTCCCCACACCTGCCCCTCCCAGACCTTCACCACAATATTGTCTGTGTCCATGGGCTATGCATAAATGCATATAAGATCCCTGGTTAGTTTCTCCCCAACCACCCCACCCTCATCTTCCCTCTGAGATTTGTTATGCTTCTATGTCACTGGATCTATTTTGTTCATTAGATTCCACATCTGAGTAAAATCATGTAATACGTATCTTTCACTGACTGGCTTATTTTGCTTAGCATAATACTCTCCAGATTCCTCTATGCTGTCTGAAATGGTAAGAAATCCTTCTTTTTTTTACAGCTGCATAGTATTCCATGATGTAAATGTACCATAGCCTTTTTATCCACTCATCTACTGATGGGCATTTAGGCTGTTTCCAGATCTTAGCTATTGTAAATTGCACCACTATGAGCATAGGGTTTCATATATTCTTTCTGACTGGTGTTTCAGGTTTCTTAGGATATATCTCCTAGGGCAAAGGAATGACAATGAG